TGGCTCCAACCTTCCATTGTGGAGTAGTCTCACACCCTTCCCTTCATGCAGCCCATGCGGCACCCATCCCCGCTGGCCAGCTTTGCACCATCGGGCACCATGGTTTTGGCTCCATGGTTTTGCTTACACTGTGAGCTATTCAGGGAATATCCTAAATTTCCACCAGCTAACACTCCCCCCATTCTCCAGGGACCCCCTCCACCCTGGGAACTCCCTCACACACCTTCCCCTTAACTTTGGGCCCATGTCTGGAGGGCAAGATGTGCAAAGTCCCATTTAGTGTCTTGCCCAGGGTCTCTAAGGGGCTCAATAAATGTGCACTGACTTTCGTGGAAAAACTGAGTGAGTGATGTCCTGCACCAGGCCCCAGCCTGGAAGGAAGCTGCATACTATGTAGTAAACGGAGCCCTGCTCTTTCCCACCTGTGTGACCTAGGGAAAGTTAGCTCACCACCCTGCCCCTCAGTTTCCCCATCTGTAAAATGGGGGCTGATGGGGGTGGTCTGGGTGCTTTCTGAGGCCCTCCCCTGCCCAGGGGCACTGACTCACGTCGTCAAAGAAGGCCCTGCACTGCACGGAGATGACCTCAAAGGAAGAGCCCAAGTCCTCCTCGGCCATCAGCCCCAGCACCTTGGTCAGCGCCACCATGGTCTCTGAGATCACCTGGGTGCTGATGGGGTCACTGAGAGAGCAGAGGAACTTTTTCAGGAGCAGCTTCTGGTAGCGTTTCACCTGGGCGGGGAGACAGCACGGAGCAGTGAGCCCCAGATCACCCAGTGTGAGGGGCCCATCCGCCCCTCCTCTCACCTTGCTGGGAGCCCCGATGGCCAGGTTGCCCAGGGCCCGTATGGACAGCAGGCGCAGAGTGCTGTGGACGTGGCTGGCCCCCTTGGCCAGCTTAGGAACTGTGGACTTCAGCATCTTCCTGCAGAGGACTGGGTCACACATGAGCTGGAAAAGAGAAGGGTTCAAACAGGAGGGGCCGCTGGTCAGCCAGGCTCTCCAGCAGCAGTGCGTTCCCACCCCCCT